GGGGGGCAGGGGGTCAAAGCGGCGCGGGTCTGCTTTGGGATAGACACCGGAGCGCCGGGACGTGCGCAGAAAGTAAAATAAGTGACGACCGGCAATAAATCGCGACGCCCCGGGGCGGCTGGCGGTGCCGAGCCGAGCCGAGCCGAGCCGGGGCCGAGTTTGGTAAAGCCGGAGAGAGGTTCAGTCGACTGGAGGTAGGCAACCACTTAATATGGGCGAGCTGCTTCCCGTGGGGTCTGGTCTGCCCGGCCCCGGCTCGGCTCGGCCTGCCTGGCCCCGCGGAGCGCTCATCTACCCTGCAGACGATTCATTCTTAACGCGCGCAAGGATTCTTGACGTGCTCCTCGTCACCGCCCCGCCCCGCCCCGCACGCGGGCTGCGGTGTCGCGGTGACACGAGCATGGCCTTGCTGCTCTGTGACGTACCTTTCAATGCGCTTGCAAAGCCGAAGCAGTACTGTTTAGGGCATCACGAGAGGAAATAAAATTAAAGATTATCTCTTGACCTAAATGTTCTAATTTTGCGGACGGTGCAAACAACTTGTTTCGGCAGTGTGCGTTGCGGCGCGGGGTGGGCGCGGCAGGGTGAGAGCGGCTGCACGCCGAGTTGGCCAAACATCAGCGTTCCTCACGTGTGGAGCAAATACGGAGATAGTTGGAGGAGCCGTACTGGCTGCAGCAGCTCTCTCCTGCGGGCGTGGTGGGGTAGTACGGGGCGTGTTGGTGAGTGGCCTCGTGGTTGTGGTAGTGGTGGAGGGGTGGGGGGGGGGAAGAGGCGTTGAGCAGCGCTGCCAATTACTATCGTTTCGTCCTCAAACCGTAACATTTCGTTAGAAACGACAAACTCTTGTCCTCCCTTTTAAAATTATTTAGAAATTACACATACAAAAAAAGTGAGTTTAAATTGAATGCACAACAATAGGCTAGCTTCGCAAAGACGCTCCATCGACCAATAATGCGCGTTCAGCTGTGGCGGGTGGGTGCCCTTTTGGCGTGCAAATGACACTCACACATGGAAATTTTTTACGATTATTCACTGTAAAATGCTTATAAGTTCGAGACCTAATTTCGTCGCAACGTTACTAAGAATTCTGAGTTCTTTTCAGCACGAAGAATATCGTCCCAAGAATTTTGCAACGTTATTTTGCAAAGAATGAATAGTAAATTCACGATATTTCACTGCATAAAAATATTTTTAAATGGAAGTAAAGTGGTTAACAGTGTCGTCGAGATGGTCTTCGTATTTGTAAAAAGAACAACAAAACAATTTTTATCATGCTCGTCGCTGAATGCCCCGCGCTATCGTCGCGCCCCGCGTCACGCTGCCCGAGGGGAGAGGGGGGGGGGGCTTGTCTCTCGTAATTAAATTAATGGCAAAGTGTCTATAAATGACGCACAGCCACACGCAGGGGTACGAAAAGGGGAGGGGCGCACCGAGACAAACACGGAAACCAAATTAACACGGCTACTGTAAAATGCTGACGCACTAAATTATTTCCAAACTTTGCGAAGGAGTTGTTCGGAAGGAAATTATTTCGCAAGACGTTGCTTTCGTAAGCAACAAATAGTGAGGGAAGAGGCAATACCGAGGGCAATACGATGCTTGGTCACTACGACCAGAAAATTTGCTTGTTGTAACTACTGTAATGTCTCTATCTCGAAGCTGGCAGATCGGGACCGGATTTCAGCTTCGAGAGGACACCCCCAAAGTTAGCCACATGTGGGGAACCTATTGTATTGGCGGACTCGGGCAGCCGGTTGTAAATCCTTTGTCGCCCGAGCTCGCACGAGCTCGCCAGGTTGTAAACCCCAATCCTTAAGCAGGGTCTGTCTCAAAATTTCAGCTTCGAGCGAGCCAGCTTCGAGAGGGACATTACTGTAAATTGGTGTACAGTCTGCTCCCTGAGTTAAAACCCTGAAACATTCTGATGTAATACCCGATGTGTTTGCACGAGCGTGTGCTTGAAAGTCTCGATACATTTTGGCGCTCAATCCCAAGTTAGCCTTAAATCAAGAGCATGCGCATCACCCAAGTGCGAAGGAGGGACGACTTGAAAACAAATTGGGGTTGATTTGAGCTCAACGACTCTAATACAATAATTGGAGTTGAGATTATCAAGTACATTGCACTCGATTCAAGTATATTGCACATGATACGAGCACACGCTTTTCTTGGTGTGGTGGGGCGTCTAGCCACTCAACCGCGTCAGAACGTCTAATGGTTAAGACTCAGTTATGCGACAACCAAAGTTTCTCCAAAAGAAAATTAAGGATTTTTTCTCCGTGCGGGCGACGCGGTTGACGTGGGCGGACCTGGTCACATTTTGTAGGATCAACAAGAGAAGACCAGGGGTCGAGATGGACTCGGCTGGCCTCGAGGTCTTAAGTGACCACACAGCGCAGAGCCCTTTGGCAGGACCAGGTCTCCTGGCGCGCCGCCAGGGCCAGCCCGAGGGCCAGCCTGCACTGCGCTGCTCTCTCTGCCCACGCAACGTCTCACCACGCCCAGCTTCCACCCCGCCACACCCCACCCCGCCTCGCCCCGCACCAGTTTTCCTAACCAATACAGCGGGCGTGCTGTGCCGTGCCACAGGAATCCCCGATAGGAACCGATAAAGGCGTGGCGGGGCGTGGCGGGGCGTCCCCGAGCACCACCGCGGCCATCCGCCCCGCCCCGCCCCGCCCCATATCGACGGCGCCACAACCTTCTGTCGCGGACCAGCAGCGCTCTGCCGCCGTGGAATGCGACACTCGAGCGGAATGCAAACGGGAGAAAACAACAACAAAGACGTCAGCTCCGCGGCGCACGGCGGCGCGCCCCAGCGGCACCGAGAGGTCGTGGGGCGGAATGACAGACTTTCGATGAGCCGCTGTGATTGGAAAATCGGAACGGCAGAGACCAGGTGTGCGGTTCACGGGACTCACTGTTGGCCGCGTGTGTCGTGCGCGAATCGGAGAGCCTCCGCTTGCCCGCCCCCTGCCCGCCCGCCAACCCCCGCGGACATGGGAAGCTCAGCGCTGCGCCGAGGGAAAAAGGGCAAACCGACGCGGAGCTGGATGCTTGGGGCGGCGCCGGGCGGCTCCAGGCGGGGCTCGGACGCTCGTTCGCACGCGAATCAATAGGGAGACAATGGCTGTCAGCCGCACGGGGAGAGGGGGGGGGGGGGCAGTCTCCCCCTCCAAGGCAGCAGATTACGGGCCGATAATTTGAATGAAAAGCGCGTCGCAATGGAGGACAAAAAAAAAACACGCGGGAAAATAGGAAGATTGAGGACATTGTTTTGGTTCGTGGGATATATAGAGAGGGGGGAGGGGTTAGCAAGTGAGTAAGGGGAGGGAGCTCGGGGGTGTCGCTGCGAACTTAGGGAGTAGTATGATAAAAAGATGGTGGGGGAAAATCGACGAAAAGGGTTCTGTAGAGGAGGGGCCGGGGGAAAGCGCCGGCTTGGGGGCAGGGTGGGGAAGAGGGGGTTGTGAGGGAATGGGGGTGGTAGCTGCAATCAGTAAAGTTGGCTCGCAATTAAAGTTGAGGTCGTGCGGGCCGCACAGGCAACCTACTCGACGTCGGACCGCAGCGGGGCGAGGCGGGGCGAGGCGGGGCGGGGCGGGCGGCACCGGGACGAGTGATAGTGTAGCGCAGCGGCACGCGCCGAGGGGGTGTCGGTCTGAGCGTTCTGTAACAAACGCTTCTCAATCTTGTGACACAGTGAGTTGCGCACGGAGAGATCCATAATTACTTGCAGAATTTAGTCATCGAGTATGAGGAGTCAAACAGTCTTGAGGCCTCTCGTAACGGCACCTGCGCGATCTCCATACTGGAAGAGGGAAGGCGTCGGGCGAGGGTAGGGGGCACAACACTGAGTGGCTGAGAGCCAAAGTCCTGCTCAAGTGAAAGAAATTGCCGTCTTTGTTTCTTTAATTAACGGCTCGAATAAAAGGAGTTGCAATCAGGCCGTTCGGAATACAAAACACCCGGCGGGTCCATTATCCGCCGCTTCGACTCTTCAGA